AAAAAACTCCTTCCCTCTGGGTGGGAAAAAACCCCCCGGGGGGGAAAAAAAAAAAACAAGCGCCGCCGCCCCTCTTTCGGGGGGGAGGAAAGGGGTCTAAAAAACCCTTTTGCCCCCCGGCCCGGGGGGGATCGGCCCCCTTCGGCCGACCGCAAACCCAGAAAATCCCGTCCATGCCGGCACTTCGAAGCTTGCCGGAGCAGAAAACGCTGTCGACCTTCAACAACCAGCCGAACACCAGCTTCAGTCAGCCAACAAGCTCCTTTTGGCACGCCGCAGAAGGAGCTCAACGAGCACGAGGGCAAACTCAATGCACTTCCTCGCGAGCGGCGACGGCATGGACACGTACGGCAACACGGGCCAGCTGCGTATCCCGGCCCAGCACACGGCGCCAGGCACTTTTGTCAACAGTGCCGGTTCGGGGGCGCAGCGTCTGACGGCGGACGCCACGGGCAGCAACCCGTTCCTGCGGACCCAGTTCACGGGTATGCCGAGCACGACATACGGAGGCAACCAGCTACAGGTATCACAAACGGGCGCTCCCGGCCTGGGTGGGCAGGGAAACAACAACCCTTTCGCCGGAACGCAGCCACAGCAAAGACACAACCAGAACCAGGATCTCATTCAGTTCTAGGCGGGCCAAGAGGAAGAGAAGGCAGGCAATTGGGGAAGAGAGGGAGAGGGGGGCAAGGAAGGCCCTGCGCAGTTGGTATCCTACACCGGGCCTCGACCAGACAACGCCGGTGATAGGCGTTTCATGTTCAAATACTTTTCTGATCACCACCCTTAGTTAATCGGGGGCTTGCATCTTGATATTCTCCCTACGCAGTGTTTGGTCTGGCAGCAGCAGCAGCTCGGGAGTTGAGCCGAGGGCTGCTGAAGGAGGACGACAAGGAGGGCAGGCTTGAAAGCTGTTCACCAGAGACAGAGGGGAAGGGGTCCGAGACAATTGTCGGAGTGGCGGCCATAGACTGATTGAGATGAATGTAGGAACGGGTCAGCGGATTGCTTCCTTCCTGTGTATGCGTATGTATGTGTGTGACACACGAACGTGGCCAGCTGCAGGAACAGGACGATTGTCTTGCTGGTGGCCGAATGAGAATACTTGAACCGAAAGCAGGCACGACGGAGAGAGAGAGAGGGGGGGAATGAAAGCTGCTGTGTCATGGAAGGTCCACTCTGATGACTGCCTACAGTGGTGTACCTATCCACTTGAGCCATGACCTGAGTAGACTGAAGCAGCATCACAATAATGACAGTAGTCATCCAAGCATGGAAGTGCAAGGCATACAGCAGGTTGGACCATCTGTATACCCAGGTAGGTACTTTAGACCTACCTAGGCACCTAGACAGGTAGGTATCTTAATTCGCTGCTCATAAATCTCGTGACCATTGCTCAGGCTGCTACGGCTGGTCCCTCTGAGGGAAAGGACCTTCCCTGGAGACGACTGCCTCGTGGGATCGAGCTCTGCAATTGGCCCACTGACCAGAGGCCCTGTGGCGCCGTCCTCAGGCAGCAAAGCTCTGAAAGCTACACCAGTTTTGGAGCCATGCGATTGGCCACTGGCGCAGCACGACGAGTAAGAGCAGGAGCAAAGCGTCCCAAGGCACCTTCCGAGCCTACCTAATCACAAAAGTCGCGAACCTGGTCTGCTGCTACCTCTGCACCTCTCCAACCACCAGCCTAGCAGCTCCCTCTCTCTCCCCATCCACCACAAAACCCAGGGAGTCGACGTCGAGGCGAGAGATGCAACCAGGTCCATCTCTTCCTTTTGTCGCACGTACCGTCTGGTTCTAATATCCAACCCCCTTCCCTCCTGTGAGTCGACCTTGTTTTTTTCCCTCTCTCTTTCTCTCTCTCTCTCTGCCGACGAGACAAAACACTTTCGAAAACGAGCCTGCATTCCCTTCCACCACGTCGCGTCCCAAATCTTCATCGGCGCATCCCTGACCAGCTTTCAATCTCCAGTCTCCCATTTCTTCCTTTGTCTCTCGCCACAGAGCAAGGGCCTCAATTCGACCGAGTTTGCTATCCGCGTCGTCTCACCTTTCGCGCCTGTCCTGAAACCTCAGTCGACACTTTTTGCGTCCGCGCCTTTTCTGTCATCGCCATCCATCGCGAACCTCTTCTGGCGACTTCTCGCCTCATCCAGTATCCATCCTCGCCAGCCTCGTCGCCCATCGACCACACATGCAGAACTCGTCATAGCGACGACCCTCACCCATCTATCTTCGGCCCCTTGCGCCCGCGGCAAAGGGACGAAACGCACAAACATTGGCCCTGCCCGGCTCCCCCTCCCAACATAAATAGGCTCCGGCTCACAGAGCTTGCCCACCATGTCGGGCTTTGGCAGCGGCAGCTTTGGCGGCTTCGGTCAGAACAACAACAATACTCAACAGTCGACCTTTGGAGGCTTCGGCTCGACCAACAACAACACGAACACCGGTGCGTCCTATCGCGGCTCTGCCTTCCTGCGGTCTCCCTGGCCTCGTGGCTCTGTCTCGCAATGCTAACGTCTTGATGCTCACAGGATTTGGAGCGAACAACAATACCACTACCGCCTTTGGGTCTAATACCAACACTGGAGGTGGCCTTTTTGGCAACAATAGCAACACGAGTGGAGGCTTTGGCGCCACCTCTTCGGGTAGGTTTTGTCTTTCGCGACGCAGTCCCCTCAAAGTTACCTTTCCCACCTCTTGCTAACAAAGCGAAAACAGGTTTCGGTGCCAACAACACCAACAGCGCCTTTGGCGCGAAACCTGCCGGTGCCTTTGGAACAACGGCCTCAAGCTCTGGCACTGGCCTGTTCGGCTCCGGCAACAACGCTTCGACCGGCACAACCTCCTTCGGCGGTTTCGGCAGCAACAACACGACCACCAACACCGGAACCTCTACGGGCTTCGGAGCCACCGGCGGCGGCATGTTCGGCGGCGGTACCACCAACAACAATACAGGCACGGGCTCTCTGTTCGGTGGGGGTGGCAACACGTCCGGCACGACAGGTTTTGGTGGTTTCGGCGCGACCAACAACCCAGGCATCGGTGGTAATGCCAGCGACCCGCCTGGCACCAACACGACGCCCTTCCAGGCATACCAGGAGAAGGAAACCACCGGCACTGGCAACCAGTCCAACTCGTTCCAGAACATTTTGTTTCAGGATCCCTACAAGAAGTGGTCGGCTGAAGAACTGAGGCTCACGGATTACGCCCAGGGCCGCCGCTACGGCAACGCCAGTGGAACGGGAGCGTTTGGTGTCTCCAACTTTGGCGGCACCGGCGGGTTTGGCGCCACTAACAACAACACCCAGCAATCGACCGGCTTCGGCTCGACACCCTCGACCGGCAGCAACCTTTTCGGAGGTGGTGGCGCCAACACCACGTCGGCTTTCGGTAGCGGTTCGACAGGCACTTTTGGTAGCACCAACACGGGCGGCGGTCTCTTCGGAGCGACGAACAAGCCTGCTGCGACTGGTGGTCTGTTTGGTGGCGGTGCCGCGCAGCCTGCTGCGACGGGTGGTCTTTTTGGCGGTTCGGGCACTGCCAGCACTGGATTCGGCTCCAACACGAACACGGCGACTAGCGGTTTTGGATCCAACACAGCCAACACCGGCGGCGGACTGTTCGGTTCCACGGCCAACAACAACCAAGCCAAACCTGGAGGCTTCAGCTTCGGCAACACAAACACAGCACCAACCAACACTGGTTTCGGCGCCGGCAACACGGGATCGGCCTTTGGTTCTAACAACACCCCCGCCAACACGACGGGCGGCGGTCTGTTTGGCGGAGGCAACACTGGCACTACGGGTGGCGGCCTGTTCGGTGGAGGAGCCAACAACCAGCAGCAACAAGGTGCCAGCACCGGCTTCGGAGGCGGCACTGGCTTTGGCGCTCAGACTCAGCAGTCTGGCGGCTCTCTGTTCGGCAACACTAACCAGCAGAAGCCTGCAGGCGGCCTCTTTGGCGGTGGTGCCGCCACGAACACTGGCGGTGGACTCTTTGGCAATGCCGGCGGAAACACGACCTCCGGGTTTGGTGCCACGAACACCGCCGCTGGGGGTGGTGGGCTCTTCGGTGCTCAGAAGCCTGCCACTGGCGGCACCGGGCTCTTTGGATCAGCACAGCCGGCCCAGAACACAGCGACGACTGGAGGTACTGGCCTGTTCGGCGGGCTTGGTGGAAACACCCAAAACCAGCAGACCGGCCAAGGCGGCTTGTTTGGAGGCAGTGCGCAAAACCAGGCGAAACCCAGCCTGTTCGGCACATCTCAGTCTGCTGGCGGGGGCCTTTTTGGCTCGCAGAACAACCAGCAGCAGTCATCACTCTTCAACAGCGGCCAGCAGCAGCAGCAAGGCTCCCTGCTCGGCGGCTCCCTCTTGGGCAACTCGCAGAACAATAATGCGCCCGCGCAGCAGTCCCTGACGGCTAGCATCTCAGACCTGTCTGCTTATGGCACGCCCGCCCTCTTCTCCAACCTCAACGGCAACGAGGTGGCCAACCCGGGCCCCCTCGCGACTCCTCTCTCCAGTAAGACCAAGACGCGCCGGAGCTCGATCCTGCCCATGTACAAGCTGAACCCAGCGTCCTCCACCCGCTTTGTTACCCCTCAGAAACGGGGCTTTGGCTTCTCGTACAGCACCTACGGCAGCCCGAGTGGCAGCCCCTCCAGCGTGACCAGCACCCCCGGTAGCATGAACCGCAGCATGCTGGGCTCAAGTCTGAGTCGCGGACTGAGCAAGAGTGTGTCTTCGAGCAGCCTGCGCAAGAGCTTCACAGCCGAAGATAGCATCCTCGCGCCTGGCGCCTTCTCTGCCAGCTCTGGTCCCCGATACTACGGCAACACGGGCAGCGTTCGCAAACTTGTTATCAACAAGGACATGCGCAGTGACCTCTTCGCCACGCCTACCAAGGAGAAGCCTGCCCTGGACGGCATCAATGGCTCCCGCAAGCTCTCGAAGCGCGTCAGCTTCGACACAAGCACGATGGATGCCAGTGAAGACGGCGACCATGATGTTGTCACTCCCCGCAACGCCCCGGTCATCAGCAACGACCTTGATGCCAGGTCCACCAATGGTATCAAGGCGGTTGCCGCGAGTTCCCCTGCCGATGTCGACTCGTCGAAGGGCAAGGAGCTGGCCATCGTTCACGAGGAAGATGCCTACGCGCAGACGCCCCAGGTTGCCACCGAAGCCTCGGACAAGGTGCCCGGCATGTACTGGATGAGCCCTAAGCAGGATGTCATCTCGTCGATGAATCGCATGCAGCGCCAAAAGGTGGCCAACTTCACGGTCGGCAGGGACAATGTTGGTTATGTGTCATTCAAGGTTCCTGTCGATCTGACCAGCATTGATCTCGACGAGATCTTCGGCGGCATCGTCGTGCTCGAGACCCGTTCGGCTACGGTCTACCCCAACGCGGCCAAGAAGCCCCCTGTTGGCAAGGGTCTCAATGTTCCCGCCACCATCTCTCTGGATCAGTCCTGGCCACGCGGTCGCGACAAGCGGCCAACTATGGACCAGAAGCGCCTGAACAAGCACATTGAGCGTCTCAAGAAGATTCCCGACACCACCTTTGTCGACTACAACAGCGAGACGGGCGTCTGGAAGTTTTCAGTCGAGCACTTCACGACCTACGGCC